GAAACTGTGGAAGGCATTGTTTCCACTCGGATCTGCCCCTGGGTGGACCCACCTTGTCCCTGACCTCATCGAGTACAACTCTCCCTCTGTGACCAAAGCAGGAGAGCTTATTCTGGTACACAGGCATCTTTATTCTCTATTAAACATCCAAGGAAAATCCAGGATACAGGTGAGGGTGGTTATCACCTCCAGACCTCACTTTCCTGAGAGTCTGGCAGTAATCTACACCTCACATGGGGCTCGAACTCATGACCCCAAGATCAAGAGCCATATGCTCTGCCGACTGAGCCAGCCAGGTGTCCCTCTTTTATTTTTTCACTTATTCCTCCAGACATCTATAGGCCTACTTGTTATTATTTCACAAACTTCTGTTGAGAACAACCCAAATGTCAGCACTGAGCTAGGCACTTGGGATGCAGAAATGACACACTGCCTGGCCCTCAGGAGCTCACAGTCAAAGGCAGGAGTCCGTGATGCCAGTAATAGTTAACAACAGGACATGCAGAACCTGGGAGTAGTGGAGAGCAAGAGGCAGGATAGGGAGAGAAGAGAGAGGCTTCTCCAAAGAACCAAAAATGAGCTAAAACTTGAATTGTAAATAGACGTTTTCAGGAGGTGGGACGGGGGAATGAATGGGACACAGAGAGGGAATTCTAGGTAAAGTAAAAATCGTGCACATTGACTTGTGGCTTTGAAGAACTTGTCACTTTCAGGAAAAACAGCAATCCCAAATGACTAGGCCATGGCATGTTGGAAGGTGTGCTGTCACCCTACTCCTAGCCCACAGGGTGAAGCTGGGAAGGGAAGAGGAGGCCAGATCTTGATAGGCCTGTAACACAGACCTAAAGGATATGAAGATTTTGTACATGTAATGGAGAGCCATTACAGGATTTTGATAAAGGATATTTACAGTTTTGAACTATCATTCTGGCTGTTGTATGGAAAAGATTGGGTTATAAGTGAACTCAGGGTGACAAGTGGGTTTGGCCACAGCCCAGGAGAGGGACAGTGATATCTCAGTTTAGGGTGCTGGTAGTGAAGACGGAGAGAGAGGACGAATGGGAGAGATGGTTAAGAGGCAAAGTCAAGAGGGATATTGGTGGTGGATTGGGTATAAGTGGGTGAGAAAGGAGCAGGAGGGGTCAGGACTGACTCCTAGGCTCTTGGTCCACACAGTGAGATACTGTTAGGTCCGTTATTAAACGAAATGAGACTGAGACAAAGTGAAAGTTATTTAAAGCTTTATTCTATGCCAAGCATTAGAAGTAAACAAAGTTAAAATTATGCAAAGCTTTAAACTATGCCAAGCATTAGAAATCAGACTGACCGGCCAGGGCGGCTCCAAAGAGAGTGGCCCCTCCCAGCCTCACAGACTAATTTTTATAGAGCAGAAACCTGGCCACATATAGGTGGCCAATGAGATTTTAACATTGTATACTCATGTTAGGTCACACACAGGTGGCCAATTGAATTACAATTTACCCTATAGTAGCTGTTTGAACTAACCTATTACTCTAGTCAGAACTGGTGCTCAAGGTTGGTGCCCACATAGCAGGGTTTACATTCTTTGGTGGTTAGGGAAAGAGTATGTGTGTTTCTTACTGATTGGATGTCTCCACCTGGCCCGACTCGTGCTTGTATTCTGGGCTCTGTTATCAGGAACTGGCTGACCTGGCCTTGTTTTCTGGGCTCTGTTATTAGGAACTAGCCAACCACATTTTACTGGTTTCCCAGACTTGCTTCTGAGTAAGTTTCTCTGGCGGGGGCAGGGTAGGTTTAAGTTTTATTGCACGAACAATAAAATGGCTTTTAACCAAGATGGAGTCACTCTGGCTAAATAGGCCCGTACAATACAAAATTAGAGATACGGGGCAGAAGCTCCTTTGAGGAGACAGATCAGGAATTGGGGCTTTTCACATCCTTTTTAAAAAACCCAAAGGGGAGCGACAGCTAAGTAGTTGGAAGTTCGGAGAAGAGGTTGTAATTGAGTGTTAACATTTACCAGGACTTTGGGTTCAAATCCAGGGGAATGGTGGGTACACAGCTGAGGAGAGGCCCTGGATCAAAGTCCTTAGGGGTGTCCGACAGCTAATGAATGGGTGGAAGGATGAGTAGACTCAAGAGAGTGAGGACGAGAGGCCAGAGAGGGCGCCCCAGTCAGAAGACAGGAATTCCAGAGCGTTGGAAGAGGATTCTCCTTCTCAAAAATCTCAATGTTTTGAGAAGGAGAGAGCGGTCAAATGCACCAAGTATTGATGAGAGATCAAGTAGGTTGAGAACAAAAAACAGTGACAGAGGTGGCACCATGAACTGTCACAAAAGCAGGAAGGAGTGTGTTGCGGGAGGCATGGGAAGGGAGGAAATGGAGTCAGGGAGGCCGGGGTGCTTTACAGAATTAGCCAAGGGAGAGAAAACCGCACAGCAGCTGGAAGGGACCTGGGGTGGAAGAGTTTGGGTGTTGCCTCTTGCATGATGGAGGAAGGTTGACTGTTGATGGGAAGCGCTCAGGTAAAAGGGAGACACTAAACACGTAAGCGACTGAAGGGGTAGTCCAAGGGATTGACTGAGAAGTGTCTTCTCCAGTTCTTTCAGAAACCATTCATTGAAGCATTCCTGCCATTTGGGGAAGAGCTCCACTGTGCCTCCTAGAATTTTGCCTTTTCCTATAAAGTATTTTCTTCCCGGTGGTGATTGTCTATTTACACACGAGGTTGTGAGCTCACGTCAGCTCTGGGAGGCAAGAATGGCATTTGCCATTATGTCACCACCATTGCCAGGCAGAGTGACTCTCGAGTTTTTGGTCTCAGGGCCGCCTCTACCTTTAAAAATTACTGAAGACCCCAAAGAGCTTTTGTTTATGTGGGTCAATTGAGGTTTGTAGTATTTGTAGTTAAAACTGGGAAATGGTTTAAATATTTATTTATTTATTTATTTGAAAACAACATGGGTAAACCCATCACACGTTAGCATAAACGACATGCTATTCATGAAGAATAACTATATTTTCCCAAGGAAAAATCATTGAGAAGAGTGGCATTGCTTCACAATTTTTGCTCGTCTCTTTCATACTGGCTTAAAAGAAGACAGCTGGATTCACATATCCGTGTCTGTGTTCAGCCAGACTTGTTACCACACATGGTCCAGCCTTTGGGAAACTCTACTGTACACTCCTGAGAGAATGAAAGCCAGTCACATTTTGCATTATAAAATAGTTTTGACCTTGAGATCCCTGAAAGGGTTTCAGGGACTCTCAGGGGTCCTCTGACTATACTCGGGGAACCACTGCTCTGACCTGTGGAGAGGAGCGTATGAATTATTTTCTTAACCAGAGATTTTAATTCATTCCCAGGGACTTCCAGCTCTCTGTCATCCTTTCCAACAGAACACAAAACCGAAGGCCACAAGGACAGAATCCTTACGATAAAGAACTTCTCAGGTAGCCAGTCCGCCCTTAATTATCGTTCCCATTTCCATCCCTTTAGTCAGTTAAGCAGCTTCTACCATGATTTTTGTTCCGTGTTGAAATTACTCGGAGTGGAACGGTTTATGAAAACACAGACTCTCACCAAAAGATCTGCCTTTTCGATGCCCCCCACAGTGAACAAAATAGTTCTGTGTAAAATATTTTTACAAAAATATTATCAAATTGAACTCCAAGAAAAGTAAACAGTTCAACCTGCTTGAGAAATGGTTCCCTTGTTTATTATTAACTAGCAGAGATGGTTTAAATCATGCTTCTTCTAGACGCACAGAACCGTTTCAGTTCCGGAGGACAGGACAGGGAGCCTGACGCCCTGGGGCTCATGGTCCCATTCACATTCACCCTGTGTCACCTTGACCGGGTCACTTGCCCTCTCTGGCCCTCACTGTTACATTCCCCTGTAACACTAGACCAGTGGTTCTAATACCTGTCTGAAGGAGCAATGGGAAGTCGAAGGCTTGTTCTTGAATACCACGTTCTTTGCTGAGCACCATAAAGTAGTGGCAAGTTTAGTCAGACCCAGTGGAATAGAAGTTTTAGACTTAGTAAATATGCATTATAGGATCCCTATTCTGGATCAAGCCAGTGGGCACAGAAGTTCATTAAAAAGAAAAGAGAAAGAGGGGGCACCTGGGTGGCTCAGTGGGTTAAAGCCTCTGCCTTCAGCTCAGGTCATGATCTCAGGGTCCTGGGATCGAGCCCCATATCGGGCTCCCTGCTCAGCAGGGAACCTGCTTCCCCATCCCCACCACCACCCTGCTCTCTCTGCCTGCCTCTCTGCCTACTTGTGACCTCTGTCTGTCAAATAAATAAATAAAATCTTAAAAAAAAAAGAAAGAAAGAAAAGAGAAAGGGGAAGAAAAAAAGGTCATGCAGTTAAGCACGGTCAACCTATCTGCACATTATCCTCACAAATAGTTATTTTCCGTTTGTTTATTCCATCTTACTGTCAACAATCGCTTGTGCCATGGCTTTTAGAGAAACAGATGGGAGGAAAACTTCCAAAGAAAGTCTGTCCGTTAACTACTTGTGCTAACTGAAAAAAGTCCCAGTTTTCAACTTTAGCGGCGAAACCCCTCAGTTTTGCATTGGAAACAACAAATCTTCCTTATCACCTTTAAAAAGTCCAATATTCTAGGCTTTTTACCTCAACAAACAATGTCTGAAAATCAAAAGAACTTCTAGTCAAATCCTTAACTGTAAAAAAAGCAAAGCCAGGGCTCGAGAGATTCTGGGGTTTTCCTAGGTTCACCTGGCTGGTTTGCAGCCTCCCGGGTGTCCTATTCGCTGGTGTCCTCAGTGTTTTTCCACTCTACAAGCTCGCCTGGTAATAAATTGCATACACAGTCCAGTACACACACAGTTCCTTGTCTGTCGGTGTTCTGTCATCATTTGTAACTTAGCCAACAATTATTTCTTCGGTTGAGAAGTTGACATTAGAAATCTCATCTCTGGCACATAAGATTCTTGTTTGTTTATAAGTTAAGATTTAATTAAAATTCACTTAGTTCTTTTTAAGCTACAAGAGATGGAAAAATATGCAAAGCAGCGAATTTAATTATGAATTGATGAGGCCACTGTTCTCTAAGTGTCTGTCTTCGTTTTGTCACTCATGGTAGGTTCTGTTCATTCTCGTTTGGTTTCTGAGCTATAATGAAGTCTATGTGTTTGTCATTGAGATCAGCACTGAGTCTGCATTTATCTATTGTAGTGGGTGGCAGAAGATCTCAAAAAGAAATTTCTGGGGGCCCCTCGGTGGCTCAGTGGGTTAAGCCCCTGCCTTCAGCTCAAGTCATGATCTCAGGGTCTTGGGGTCGAGCCCCGAGTTGCACTCCCTGCTCAGTGGGGAGCCTGCCTCCCCCTCTCTCTGCCTGCCTCTCTGCCAACTTGTGATCTCTGTCTGTCAAATAAATAAATAAAATAAAAAATTAAAAAAAAAAAAGAAATTTCTTGCTGTCCTTGGGGAGACAACTGCCCAGATCACTATAGAAACCCTAAATGACCTTCCAAGAATGAGGTACTCCAAAGCTCCTCGTGTGATGGGGACGCCTCTCTTGGTAGGCAGCAAAGAAGCCACCATTCCCACGTCCTATATTGAAAATCAAAGTTCGTGAGAGCAGATGGGACTTGTAGCATCCAGTCACCAATGAAAATATATACTTTGTGTGTCAAACCCACTATTTTGCCCAACTAATAGCCGGCTTGTTATATAACTAGTATCTCCAGCTCCTCAACAGTAATTTGTCTTCTCTTTCCTACTCTGGAACACAATGGGCTTTTTTCTGAGGTTAAAATTTCCTCCTCTAAAGTATCAGTAAATAGTTAAACAGATGTTTCTCTCAGGTTCTAGAGTGAAGAAACATGCGTGTGGGCTTATGGCTCGAGTCCATTTCCGTTCGAACATGGGGGCGGTTGCTGAGGAATAAAGTCTTATTTGTCATAATTTCATTTCACTTTGCTTATTAGGCTTATAATAATCACTTCTAGGTCATAGCGTTATTTGTAACACAAAACCCAACTGCCTTCTTTTCCACTCATGATAATTCTACCTTTTAGGACCTGATAAGAAGTTTAAAGAAGTTTCACGTTTAAAGAGGTTTTCCATCCAAGGATTATCTCTCTTGCAAGGATTTGGGGATGGTTTACAGTGACTCCCATAAAAGAAGGTACGTTCTTATTATAACAAAGCCCTTATGTCCAGATGGTTCTGCTCAAGAAAGCAAGGCTATTTGACACAATCCAAATCACGGGACCGTGGAGATGGAGGAAATCATGTTTGGGCTTGCAGTGCTGACCCACATCTGATCCTCTGAAAAGAGGATCTCCTCAGATTCAGGAAATCCTAGTAAAGATTCTACATCCTCTCTTGAGACTCCATTTTCTGCTGACAGCTGGGGCTCCACGAACATTTGTTGATTCATCCAGAAACTCAGTCAGCTGTCTCTGGCCACCTCCAGTATTCAGGGAGTCCTCAAGCTGTTCGTTCCCTCCAGGAGCAGATGAGAAGAGCTACCACGGTGTCTCTCACATCGCCCGTGGTGTCATGGCAGGCCTCCCGGCCACCCACTGTCTCTTCAGTGTCCCTCCTCCCACTCAGCAGAACCAGTTCCAGTGGCTGTCCCAAAGGCATGCAACAACAAGAGCCATATTTTTTTTTATTTTCATAATTTAGGACTCAATTCTCTTGATCAATATTGCTCTGTTTTATTAATGTCACCGTTATTAAGCATCTACCCTGTGCCAGCAGTGGGCTATAGGCCAGGAAATCAAGCCTACTGAGAAAGACAGGATTTCTTCCATAGGAACTCATGGTATTATGGGAAAGATAGATATTTTAAAAGATAATTATAGAGTGATATAATAAGTGTGATATTTGACCTTTATATTTTCATTTATCATCAGTGGAATCTTCCTCCACAATCTAAGGGACACTTTCCAAATTGTACTGTTTTTGCATTAACCCAGTTATAGCAATTTTTTTATTTCAGTGAAGGCATATTTGGGGATTTTGAAGGAAGGAAAAGATGAAAAATAAAAACATTTCAAATGCTGCATACAGTAATTTAAAGCTAGATATAAAGTTATAAGCACTAGGTAAAATAAATATCTTGTGTATTTGTCCCCTTATTCACACTTTCTCCTCTATTTTCTATTAACAAATCTGTTTGACTTTGATAATGAGAAAAAATAGGTTTTTTTTTAAATTGTGCTTTCTATCTTATAGAGATGTACTAATTAGATCTATACAACAAGAGCAGGGGTGATACTAGGGAAACTTCTGTCTAATACGTCATTTTCTGTCATTATTACAGTTCTTGGAATAACTGGAAAATTGTAGTTTACACAAACACATCCACTAACAGATGTTTGTGTTACTGATTCACCTATGATTTCAATACTACAGAGTCCTTTCATGGTTCTGGCTTTTGATCTGAGAGACAAATTTATTTTCTCAATCTTTATTTACTTTGACATTGAACTTGGATCATGTGTAGTAAATGTCCTTTGAAGTCTAAATAAATACCTGTTTTATAATCTCAAGGGCAAGTGTTCAATGTCAAATCATAGTCACATTAAAACAAATCAAATAAGTCTATGTCCTGAGTTCACAGCACAATATAAACGGCCTAGAAATGTAGACGTGTAAATAGTTATCATCTTTCTAGATGAATCCTTAGGCTCTTGAGCTGGGATACGTGTGCTAAGTTAGCTTATTTGTAAGTAAGCAAAACAGAACCTTATTGACAAAAACTCTGGCCCAAAATGAACTCATCAGTCACATTTATTTATGCCAATGAAGATTAAATATCCTTAATCAAACGGTCTTTTCTCCAAGAAGTACGAAAAGGAAACCTTTAAAATGAGAGCTGCAAAGTTTGTTTCAGGTTCTTTTTACAAGAGCCTTGCTTTCTGTCCAACTTCCCAAAATTAAGGCATGAGCTCCCTCTGCTGAGTGAATTAACATATGTCAATGAGACAGTCTAAAATATCTGTGCATTACACGTTAGGACATTTTGTTCTTAGAAACAGAACAATGATGAATTACAAAAAAGTTTCCTTCTTTTAAAACTCATGACTCCAATATGGGCTGGAATGGAAAGGTGGAGAAAAGTAATTTAGGAGGTTAGGATTCATTAACTTGGGTTTTTTCCTAAGCATTGACTCATGTCATGGCAACACTTTGTGACCACAAAGTGGTCACTTTTTAATCTAATGACCAGGAAGTGTTTAGGAGCCCCTGTTCTCACACCTCCCTGTTCCCTGACTTCTGTTCTTCAAAGCGCTTGTGATATCTGAAACTGCGTTACTTATTTATTCATTGATCTGGTGACGACTGTCTTTTCCTACTGTAATGTTGACTTCCTGATAGAAGAGTCATTATCTGGGTTCTCTGCCCCTAGAACAGTGCCTCCCACGCAGTAGGTACACAGAAATATTTGTTTAATGAATGGAAGGAGGAAGGCAAGCAGGCAGGTCTGTAATTACTGACAGTGTCACTTCGGATGGTGATTCAGTTACAGAGGATACAGGGCTAATCATATGGAACTGGATACAAACTCAGTAGGAAGTGGGAGAAAGGAGAGAATTAATGAAGGCATGATGAAAGAGCTTAAAGGAGGGGAAGGTTTACTCAAGTTAGATCAGGAAACAGGTATTATGCTAGGCACTGGGGATGTAATGGTTTACTAACAGAAGGAGGGGGGAGAGCATGGACCCTACCCTCACGAAGCCTACAGGCTGACGGCGAAGATGGATGTCAAATAAACACCCAAACAAATGGGGTGGGGGGTTTGGGAAGACGACTTCTAGTGGTGATCCAAGGGTAAGTGGGAGCAACCCAATAGAGAGGGGGGAGGGGTGCAGCATGTGCCAAGGGCCAGAGACAGAAAAGAGCACTGTTGCTGGAGTGGGAGAGGAGAAGGCAGGAGACTGACCTCACAGCCTGTGGAAGGGGCACTGTCCTTGTCCCCAGAGCAAGAAATGGTTCTAATGGTTTCCTTCAGTTTTTGAGGGATCCTAAGCGATTTTTACTCTTTTTCCTATTTTCTATATTTATGAGATGGTCTACTACAAGTGTGTGTTACTTTAATAATAAGAAATACTCAAAGTTTATGAAAGAGAAAGGGGGCATTATATGCCTACTATAGCCTTCTTGCCCTACTTGCCTTTTGCTCTGCCAGACTTACAGAATGAATGAAGTCATCTTCCTTCCAGGCTGATCCCAGGAGCTGGCCTGAGCCTGGCCAGGTGCAGGGCATGGTGGAGAAGTCACACTGAAGCTCCCAGTCATGAGACGCAGACTGAAATCATCTGAGGACCTAGATCAGAGAACAGGTTCTCTTTACCCACCACCTGGGTATGGGTACTTCAGTGAGGATATCCTGTCATTTGGTATTTTCACTATTTCCTGCCACCGCCATCTGTGTTTTTCACACGGCTGAGTCAGATGGATTCCTTGATTTCAGATCATTGTGGCATAAACCACTTAAATGACCAGGTTTGGGCTGGGTAGGGGGTACCCGCCTCCCTGGTTCCCCTACCCATGACCCCAAATCTTGTCTGTGGTTCTTAGGATTTATGCTGTCCAGAAAGATCTATATAATTTTTAAGATTTTATTTATTTATCTGAGAGATCACAAGTAAGCAGAGAGGCAGGCAGAGAGAGAGAGGAGGAAGCAGGCTCCCTGCTGAACAGAGAGCCCAATGTAGGGCTCAATCCCAGGACCCTGAGATCATGACCTGAGCCGAAGGCAGAGGCTTTAACCCACTGAGCCATCCAGGCACCCCAGAAAGATCAATATTTAATGGCTCCCAAAGGGGTTCTCCAACCTGTTACCTTAGAAAGACAACTAACGGTTTCATTGAGAGTAACCAGCCTGGTAACAAATGCCAAGGAGTACCACACAATTCACTCAGCCTTCTGGGGGTGATTCTGGACTGTAACAACTATGGTCTGTAACAACAGCTCTGATATAGTGACGGTAACAGAACACACACGCAAGTAACTACAAATGCAACACGTGGCAGAGTTACCCTTGTTAACGCCAGGTCTCTCTGTATGAAAGAACTCTTGGGCTGTGTCTGCAACCCAGTCTAAGTCCCTTCCGTGACAGTGGTGGCCCTGTGTTTCAGCAGGTGCCTTCCGGATGCAGTGACATTGGCCTTCCAGCCGCCTGAGTCAGAGGCCGCATCTCTCTGCAAGGGCCCTTAGCTGGGGAGGGGAGTCTCAGTCCTTGGATCTGCAGTCCATCATTCAGAGTGAGCTCCTCAGAGTCAGAAGCCCTCATCAGTGGCCTTCCCGGGGTGCCGCTTCCCCAGACAGCAAGCCCAGGACCGCGTGTGCCCTGCAGGCCGTCTCTCCTCCGCCCTGACTCCCCTCTAGCTCTGTTACCGGGTCCCTGCCACCCGCATCGTCCCTGCAGCCCCGGGAAGGAGCTTACAGTGCCTGGCTGGGAGGACGTCCATAACTCAGGGATGCTGCTGTCCCCTCCATCAGTTACATCCTCCTGCCCTACCTGACTCCTCACCCTCTCCCGGCTCACCCCGCCCTACCTGAGTTAAGTTCAGGCTGTTGGAACAAAACACTGAAGCTTATAAACAGTGGGCATTTATTCTCATGGTTCTGGAAGCTGGAAGCCCAAGATGGGGCTGGTGACTTCCCACTGTGTCCTCTCATGATGGAAGGGACTAGGGCTTTCTCTGGACGAGTCCCTCTTTTATGAATTACTTATCCCATTCATGAGGGCTCCATCCTTACGGCCTGATCACCTCCCAAGGGCCCCACTTCCTAATACCATCATCTTTGGGGCTTAGTATTTCAACGTATGAATGGGGGGGCATAAACATTCCGTCTGTAGCACCTCCCACCCCGCTACCCGCCCCGCTATTGCCCCCCACCCACTGCCAACTTACTCTGCTTACTTACTCTGCTTGACCATTTTTTGTCTATTTATGCAAGTGACAGATGCATCATTTCAGAATGAATTCTTCATACATAAATCATAACTTGAGTCCCTCTAACTCAGAAATTAGAAGTGGGTGGCATTGAAGTGATTTTCACTATTTGTCTTCATAGTTTCTGTTGTGTAAATAAGTAAAGGAATTCATGATTCCGCTAAAACATTTTTAGGATTTGCAAGGACATCTCTCATGCTGGCATTTTTGTTCTAATTACCCAGAGTGAAGAGAAATGCCATTCTCTACTTAATTCAGCACTCACAGTAAAAGCCCCAAGGTTGTGGATTCATCTTTCTTTTGGTCCTTAGGAAGCCATATTATGAGCAGACTTTTAACCTAGGATGCCAACCATACGAAGTATAGGGAACTGCGTCCTCAGTGTGGTTTTAAAAGGGGGGCTGACAAACCCCCTTTTAAGTGCTGATATCAGTTTTATAAATATATTGAACACAGAGCTGTGGGATAAGATGAACCCTCGCTTATGTCACTGAATACGGAACTTGCTCTTCTCTTGCTGCAGACAGAAGTGACAGCACATGCATCATGAAGATAGTGGGTAGAAATGAGACACTGTAGGTCATCAGGAAGTACCAGTGAAGCACCCCAACTTGTCCCTCTTCTTCTCTATTCATTCTCAGGAGATAAAACATTTGCAATTGAAATAAGTTT